CTCAGCCAGTGCTTCGAGAACCACTGAAAGGTTCCAGGTGGGAACCCTGGAACGAGTCACGGGTCTCATCCTCCGGGCTCCACGGAGGAAGCGCACGACCAGTGGAAGCCTCCCCAAGGGCCCATCACTCAGAGGGGCGTGGAATGCTGCAATGGCAGCCACATACACTTTGAGCGTGGACGGGGAGAGGCCAGCGGAGAAACGCTGCTGGAGGAACTCCAGTATCACAATTACCGAGCAGGTAACTGGGTCCACCGCCCGTTCTCTGCACCAGGTGGTGAACACATTCCACTTTAGGCCGTACATCCTTCTCGTGGACGGAGCTCTGGAGCTGAGCAGCGTCTCGACTGCACCTGTCATCAGGCCCGCCTCTAGGGGCCAGACCCATAGCTGCCACAGGGATGTGGGTGAAAGATCCGGCCCTCCGCCTGGGACAGCAGCTCTCTCCTCAGAGGGACCTGCCAGGGCGGGCCCTCGAGGAGCGATATTAAATCCGAGAACCACACTCATGCCGGCCAAAACGGGGCTACTAGTAGTAGACTGACACTGTCCTGGCGGACCCGCTCCAGAACCCCCGGGAGCAGAGCTACTGGGGGAAACGCATACAGACGCAGCCTCGGCCGTGTCTGCACCATGACATCCAGCCTTAGCGGGTCTGGGGGCGAGAGGGAGAACCACAGGGGACAGTGTGCTGTCTCTTGGGACGCAAACAAGTCCATGTCTATGGGGCCGAACTCTTCGCATAATAACTCCACCACCTCGGGGTGGAGTCTCCATTCCCCGAGCCTCAGCCCCTGTCTCGACAGCAGGTCTGCTCCTTGATTCTGGGTCCCAGGGATGTACATCGCTCTGAGGGACAGCAGTCTCTGCTGGGACCACAGGAGGATCTGATGTGCCGGTTTGCATAATGGGCGCGAGCGCAGACCCCCCTGGTGATTCTAATAGGCCACCACTGCCGTATTGTCGGTTCGATTTCCTCCATACAGACAGGGAACGAAGGCACCTGCTTGTAACCCGTATCAGACAGAGCGGATTTCCCCTCGGGGAGAATCCCTTGGATTTTAGCCACCACTGCAGGGCTCTCATGTGCAGTAGTCCAGAAGGTATTATACTGGACGCTGCTGCCAGGAGACCCAACACCCTCTGAAAGTGTTTTACAGTGATGGTGCGGCCTAACTGCACTCTGGTCACTGTGGACAAAATGGACTCGATGCGTGCGGGAGGCAGGTGGGCCCGCATTGTCGTTGAGTCCCATACCACCCATAGGAATGTAGTCCGTTGGGTCGGTGTCAGCACACTCTTCTTCGCGTTGAGCCGCAGCCCCAAACGCTGAAGGTGGGCGAGGACAACATCTCGATGCCGAACCGCTAACTCTCGCGACTGGGCCAGGACGAGCCAGTCATCGATGTAGTTCAGTATGCAGATGCCCTGAAGCCTCAACGGAGCCAGAGCTGCATCCATGCATTTGGTGAATGTGCGGGGAGATAGTGCTAGGCCAAACGGAAGAACCCGATACTGGTAAGCCGTGCCCCCGAAGGCGAACCTCAGGAACTTCCTGTGAGAGGGACGGATGGAGATGTGGAAATAAGCATCTTGCAGATCTATCGTGACAAACCAATCCTCAGATTGGATGTGACTGATGATGGCGGGGATGGTAAGCATCCTGAAGCTGAATCTCCTCAGAGATTGGTTCAGGGACTGCAGATCCAAATCGGACGCAATCCTCCGTCCTTCTTGGGAACCAGGAAGTATCGGCTGTAGAAGCTGGCTTCTCTGACTGGCGGGGAAATGAGTTCTATGGCCCCTTTCTTTAGCAGAGAGCGGACTTCCTGTCCCAACACGTGGCTCTGTTCTGCGTGTACTGCAGTCCCGACCATCCCGCAGAATCTGGGGGGGCAAACCCAGAACTGCAGTCTGTAGCCATCTACTACAGTGCGCAGGTCCCACTGGGAAATGTTCGCGAAGCCCCTCGGGGCTGGTGGCCGGTGTCCCACGGGAATCCCCGGTGGCGCCCTGAAGCGGAGGACTGCCAGGGAAGACTCGCCGGTGAACCACGGTTTGTGAGCCCAGTCGTGTTCCGGCTGCCACTTCTCGGGGTGGACAGATCGGTGAGGGCCTGCCGGTGGCTAGCGTGTCCCGAGCGCTGAAGTGGTGGGAGAAACAACGCCTGTTGCTGGAGCCACCATGAGAGAGGGGACCTCGATCGGCCTCTCTCAGGGGAAGGGGGGCAGGGAGGGGGAGGAGGTGGAGGGTGGTGGTGGGTCCCCCTACTTGAAGTCTCAGGACCTCTTCCCCCGGGCCCGCCGAGACTGAATGACTGTCCTCAGATCCGTCTTCCCGGGGGGCTGTGGGCGAGAGCGCCGTCTTATGTCCCAGGTTGGTTGAGGGGGATCCTGTGAAGCGACGGCTGCGGTAGGTGCTGGACGAAGGCTGCGTCCGCCTTTCCTGAGTCGTCGCGGTCCTGGAGTCTGAGCGGTGGGGGAGATATTGCTCAAACGCCTCTCCCTGAGTTTTGTGCTGGAACCTGTTGACGACAGCATCCACTGCTTCGCCAAACAGGCCAGAAGGCGAGAGGGGCGCATCCAGGAGAAAAGCCCTCTCCCCTTCCCCTGGATGCCCGAGAGGTTGAGCCACAGATGGCGCTCTGTGGCCACCAAAGCCGCCATGGATCGGCCGATGGATCGGGCCGTTTCCTTGGTCACACGGAGAGCCAAGTCCGTCTCTCTACGGAGCTCCGTCAGGTCCTCCCCTTACGTCACAGTCCCGAAGGAGATCGGCCTGGTATGCCTGCAAGAGAGCCATCGTGTGCAGGCTGGCACCAGCTCGACCCGCTGCCACCAAATCGGACGTCATCCGACATGGCTTGGCGGGGAGCGCCGGCGTCCGGAGGGATGAGGCGTGGTTGGGAGAGAGGTAGCTAGCTCCGTCGCCGTGCTGTCTGATCTCCGTCACGTTGCCGTAGTCCAGCCGGGGGGACGTAGACAGCCGTGCAGAGAAGGGTTTGTTCCACGATCTCCAACTCCTTGTATCCTGGCGAGGGCTGATGACGTTCCATTTCCCCGAAGTCATTCTCCATGCTAAGCACATCTAGCTCCTCAGAGCCAGATCGTGCAAGCCTCTCCGGACTCACCCCTCGAGTGGGAGAAACCCAGAAACGAGCTCCCGATCAGGGACGAGAATTCCGCTGACGAGGACCGAAATAGTTAGGGCCTCATTCATAGTTCAGCCCTGCCACGCCCAGAGGCGTTCCCATACTGTCGTCACCGACGCAGTTCGAGTTCCCTCGAAGGGGAACATTCTTTATGGGATGAGAACAATTCCAAGTAAAACATTTCTGGGAATCTTGAAGTTGGAGTTCTGAGAAAGAAGTCTCAATTGTGAGTTCACAGAATTGAAAAAAATAGTTTGACTTCTTGACATCTTACTATACTAACATCAACATGTGAAGTCAGAATTCTGACTTTATTTTCAGATATCTGATATAAAGTTATTTTGCTGCTCTTGAGGTTTCATACTTACTGGGAATCTCACTGACCTCCTGGTGGTAAGTCATTTAAACTAATGCAGTGAAGCCAAGCTTTGTACTGTACAAAATGTACTTAAAATTAAATTTTTGCCCCATTTTTGCCATGGCATGTGATTATCATAACCTTTGCAGAGTCACACATCCTTTTAAATTTGCTGCATTTCTTTGTTCACATTTAGCCTAAACCGCACTGTCATTCAAATAAGCTTTGCTTAAAATAAAAACCAATGGAGATCCAGAAGTTCCCAAAGATACCAAATACGCCAGGCCAAATTTTGAGGAAACAAAGATGCAAAATGTGTATGCATGTTCACGTGACATGGAGTTCATAAATACTGTACATAAATCATAAACTGTAGGTTATTGACACTGCCACTATCTTTGGAGATGAATATTTATCTGCTTACCACTCCCATACAGTTCCAAGAATAGAGTCAAGTGAGACTAAGCTCATATCTTCAAAATGCAGTGCCATAAAAAATGTCAGCCAGAAGTTTGTTTGGCTATTAATACTTTTCTTTTAAGGGTCACGTTAAGCTTGAAATTTAATAATGTTCTTGTTGTAGTTATGGCTTTAACGTTTGTGTCACACTTTTTCTTTCCTTGTTTATTTGCCTTGCTTCTGATTTCACTTTGTGCTGCACTTTTGAAGACAGGGCCTTCTGAGTAGCTGCAGCAAAACTCCGGTCTGATATGCATGAATGTCTGTATGCGTGGGTATGTGTGTGTGTGTCATGTATGCACTATGTATATGCCTGTATTCAGGTACTTGCATCTTGTGATAATCTTTTTGCACAATTACATTTGTGCAAAAACCAGTTGTTTTATAGTGCTCTAAAAATACATTTGACCTATAACACACCTGTGTCTCACTGTGTTTTATGTGAAACTGTGTTTCTCTCTTTGTTCTATTCTAGGCTCCTTTGTACTGAACCATATAATTATGTTCAAGTCTTTTGTTTGTATTTGAGATAACATCAAGTTACCTAGACATTACCCAAAATACCTCAGACCAGACACACCCCCACTGCTTTTCCCAGTCTGCATGTGCAAAAGTACGTTGTCTACCCATTCACAACGCTTTAAACATCACACTGTTGAAAACACTGCAGTGCCATAGCAACGTGGTGGTTTAATGACAGACAGACAGTGTACAGTAAACACTATTCAGTTTTTCTTTCTGAATAAGTTGATTTATTTATCTGGAGTCAAGTGCTAAAACGATAAATTAATTTGATGGTCACGCTTGTCACACACACCTAAAAAAACTTTCCAGTCTCTCATGCTTTTGTGTTGCTCTAATGATTCTCTAAATTCCTCTGTGATGTCAGGGAGCTTTCTGAGAGCTTCTCTCAGGGTTATTCTCATCTGACGAATCAGTGTTTGCCTAAAAGGCTGAGTTGTATGGGTGAGCAGGCTGCTGAGGTATGGGATGCATCCACAGATGGGAATATAAACAAATAACACTCTCACATAACACTGAGACACTTTATTAGTGATCAAATTCCATCCCTTTTCCAGTGTGAGATGAAGAGCATTTCTCTGACCTATAACAACAGCAGTGCAATAAATAAAACCAAACCAACAGAACAATCACAATCAAAGGAACTGGATGTTCAGCAGTTGCACATAACAGACATCATAACAATAGTCCAACATACAAACACTCATACAGTCGTTAGCAATAAATAATCACACTAAATAAATTACATTCTAACTGTTTTTTCCCCACAGCATATAATTAAGCAGTCTATTCACTATACTGCTTTCTCAGGTCCTCGGACTCCTCTGCTCTACTTCGTCTTGGAGTCGTGCGGCTGGCTGAGGAAAGACAGAGAGAAATCAATAAATATGAAAACATAGAAATGTATTTTTTGTAAAAGTATTTTATGTACAATTAAAACGATTTTGGAAGAAATCAACCATTAAGGAAGTACACAGACATGCAAATCATTTACATCTGTAAATTCTGTTCTTGCACTTTTTGGTTGCTTCCTCAAAGATTGTCAGTAAAACCATTTAGGCAGATATTGTTTTTAAAGCCACTATTTATACATTTGTATGTGATTATAGCACCTTACAAAAGATTCCAATGAAATAAGTTTGTGTTAGTAGAAAAATATGTAATTCAACTTTGACCTACTGTACGTGCCATAGTTGAGTTGTTGGCAATATTTTGGGTGTGTTCACTTTTGGTTTTATATCCAGATAATTAATAAGTGATTTAAATAATTGAGCTAAACTGCTGGCTTGTTTATAATCTATCTAATTGTCTAACCACTCCTTTTATCAGTCAGACGTCACTGTGGCAATGTTGCTGACTTCCCATATCTTATCATAAGCAATAGAAATGACGGCAAAAAGCTACTAAAACTATTAAATAAGACCCAAGTCATGACACATAAAAAAAACTATTTAGAGCCTGCAAACTAATAACCATAATCAATTCATGGTCATGCAGTAAGCGAGTCAGACTGTGACCTACCCTGATCCCATTTACTTACAACTTACAAGTTGAAAGACACATTTCTAGAAAGTTAAGCTCCTACAGATATGAATTGAATATTCACTCTATGTGTGAGCCAGACTTGCTTTTCTCAGACACTGGGTGATTCACAGGCTGTGAGGAGAATTCTGCAAGGCTGCATTGTTTGTCTCAAAGCTAAAATTTCTGTGTGTCTAAACAAGTGAAGTCTGCATGTGTGCGTGCATGTGTTGCTCACTGTGATCTGACCACATCTAAGTGGACTAATTAAGGTCTTACTGCAAGGTAATCACGTGCACAGTCAGTGTGTCAGTACTGTTATTATTTGGACACACAGGTGAATGTGTACGATCGAGTGTGTGGTTTTTCTTTACGCTGGTATGCAATGCAGAAATGGGACAGGCCGAGACACCCTAATCCAGACTAATACCTCTAGTGGGGATTCCTCTTTGCGTGATGCAACAAGCTGTATTCAATAACAACAACAGGCGGACGCGGGCTCTTCTGTCACTCTCTGAGCCCACGATTTCCTGTTTGGCTTAAGGCTCACGTGAGCAGAGGCCAGACACCGCCCTCTGAGGTCTTAAGCAAGACTTTTGGAAGAAATACATCACCAAAATATGTACCGCCAGAAATGCACGAGTTCCTGATAACATGTCTTTCTTTCAGCAATATTGCTTGCACAAATGGCATTAAACTAAGCATCGGCTTGGTCAAGGTTTGGGTTTCCATTCTAAGTCCCAGCCTGCTCGCCAAGCCCAGCCCCCCTTCATTACAGTGCTACACCTGTTCTTTCTAGAACTGTACAGGCAATTTACAGAGGGGCCAGTTCTTGATTTTAGACAAAGGTAGACAAAAGCAGGCTCCGCATTTCTATCCAGTGAACGATGATTTTTCTGCTGAACTTTGCAACTGTCTCCAGCTACAACAGCTATAGCTAAGTAGATAGTTAAGCTAACGTTAGTTGGCAGATATCTTACTGAAATTAAATACTTTAATGTTTCAAGATGAAAGAATTAAATATGCACTTGATGACTATATTTATGATATCTTGCTAAAAATGTTGTTGATAATCATAAAAAGACATGGAAATACAGAAACAAAATTTTTTCTGTATTGCAGATCTACAGTAGTTAGTCCGAGAATTAATATGACAATGAAAAAAATAAGATCAGACTGCGGCTTTGTTCTAACATACTGGTAACCCTGTTTAGCGGCATCGCTTTTATGCTTGGACAAGCAAGACCGAGTCTGGTTTTATGCTTTATTGTTTGTATTTTCAAACAGTATGTTTCACTTTTAACTTTACAAGAGAAAATACTTTTAGAGGGAGGACTAACTGATGTGTTTGCTGAATGTGACGCTTCCTCAAATGATGAGCTGCTAATGTTTGTGTCTAGTCTCAGTACTAGACACAGCGGGTGTGGTCGTTGTGAAAGGGGCTTTTTTTTTTTTAATAGCGTAACCTGTAACCTGTGTCAGAATTAAAGTTGATTTGATTCAGTATAAACTTACAGTGAGACGTACATGTTTGTGTACACACAAGTAGGCCAAAACCTTTGGGACACTTACCTCATCATTACTTGACGCCCTCACACTACAACGTCACCGATTGGTTTCTGTAGCTTCTCAAGCTCTGTCCCAGTTCCCAGATAGGACGCCAGGAAGTTTTTATGCGACCTATAACTACAAAAGACATTCAACATGAGTATAAAAGCCAGCTTTAACTCTTGTGATTATCAGATAATCGCAGTGGAGCTACTTGAAAGGCATGAGTGCGGGGTCAGTTACACGGTTTTGATCCTGTCAATACAAATGAAATTTAAGGTGTGTTTTTGTTGTGTTCTGGCAGTGATTTCTGTGGATTACAGTCCATAAAGTGCATTGATTATTAAAATTAACTCTGTTACGTCTCTATTAGTTTTCTGGGTGTTTTGATTAGAAATTAAATTGGAGGTAGTTTCATTTCACCACCTCACTTAAGTATTTCATCCAACTGTGGCTGTAAAGCTTTGATTGCACTGCTGCTGGTTATTGGACTTAGTTACATATTGATAAGGACATTTGATTACACATTAAAAGACTTGTTGCACAATTACAGCAAGCAACACAAGTTAGGTTAACACAAAGCATGAGTAATACATACATTCTTTCATGTGACACAATTTATGATTTTACTACAAGTCTACAATAAAAGTAAGAGCGAATAATGAAAGCTGCCTTAAGTCCATCTTGTCAAGGTGGTGAGCAATCTCTGTATAGTGTGGGTGTGTTTGGGTGTGTTAATGTGCTTTTTGATGTGTCAGTGAGTTCAAATGCCAAGAAAGTGTTTCTGGGCAGGATGTGTGGATTGTAATGTGTGTTATGTTGAGATACACCGGGGTGTGGATGGTTGCCCTCATGTTTCAATAACCTGCCCTATAACAGTTTCAAAGATTAAAGAAGAATTAGAGGGCTTTTTTACTAAACTACTGGCATCAGGTCTTGTCTTATTATACTTCCACCTATTGTGAAAAGTGATACCAAAGCTGAAGAGAGAAGCAGGTCACACCGATAACAATGTTATATATTTCTTTATCATGTTGGAGACAGGGTAAATTAAAAAGGTCTTTCCTGTTACCTTTCTTCATGATTTAGGCCAATAAGTTTGGAGCATCTGGTAAAAATTTTACATTCATGTGCAAAAATGGGAGGTAAGCTTGGGAAAATGGGAAATGTTGCATTGGGGAACTAAGTAAGTAATTAAATGGGCGCAGAGATCCCCAAAAATATGAAAACTAAGGAGTTGTAAATGAGCTAGTAAAAGATAAGTAAAAGATTTAATGCATTGAAATTTATTTTCACTGGTAGTTAAAGGAAAAGTAGAAAGCTTCATATTTCTTTTTAATTATTTAACTAACAATATTATTTATTGATGTATTTTAATACATTCTGTCAGTCTCGGGGCTCCATATGATATTATTTTCCTAATTCTTTCCTCTTTATATCAAAATCTTTTGGAATTGTTAAATTCCCCATGTCTACCACACTTCTTATCACTACCTCTTGTGTACTTTAGACTGCCATTGAGGTACAACGTGAAGTCCCTACCAGCACCTTTTCAGCCATCTCTGAGGAGTTTTCAGCAGTTTTACCACAAGATCACTCACTGGCTTCCCATCCACAAACACTAATGTTCTTTCTGAAAGCCTTTAGTGTGGCTTTTAAATTAAAATGTGTGTGTGTGTGTGTGTGTGTGTGTGTGTGTGTGTGTATACATAGCTGTGTGCCACTTGCATACTCACTGAGCACAGGTCATGAGCAGGATGGCGGTGCAGCTGATGACTGACAGGACCACAGCAATGATCACTAACACCGTTTGCACCAACTCCGAAATGTTGCTGTTATCGGGCTGGGTTTTACTTGTCTCCAGAGTTTGGATCCCACAGCGCTCCCCGTCGTAACCCTTCATACATCTGCAGGGCCGAGAGTTACCAGAACAAATTGATCACCCAGTGAGGAGATGTGACAACAGGTATTAAACTCTAATTATTTGGATGTTTGAAAGAAATTTAAATTTAAATTTTAAATTTAAACTTGCACACGTGCAAAATTGACCGAATCTGCCTATTAGTCAAAATGAGCAAAGCCAGCTCTCATATTAACTGGTAAATTAAAATATTAATCTATGAATGTAGTTTGTAAGTCTGAAAAACTAACATGTGGATTATTTATTTGAGGCACTCATATTCACACACATGCAAACTTACAACAACAAAGTGAACTGATGATGTACTCACATACACACTGGCTCCTGCAGGCCCTCTATGTACTTGCAGTAACCGTGAATGCAGTAGCCCAGGTGGGTGGAGGTGCAGGGATCCTCTGTGGTGCTGTAAGTCGACGTGTATCCGTTGGTGAAGAACGTGTGCTCGGGGTTTAAAGGAGTTGTGCTCTTGGCCTTTTGCCTGTTCCTCTTCTTGCCTTTGCCCTTCTTTTTCTTCTTCTCATCTTTGTTGGGATGCAACTCTGTAGCAGGAGAAATTTGAAACTGTAGCTAAGGTTTATGGTATCTTTTTAACTTTCAAGACTGAAAGTTCATATAATTTATCTGTCTACCCTCTAAACCAAAGATTACTTTCAGCAGCTTGGCTGGGTGTTTTTGGACCAAAGGAGCAATTTGATGTGACAATATTTTAAATGTTCACATTCCTGCTTGGCTGCCATTAACAGTTTTCACTTTTGTGACAGTAAAACAAAATTTCAAATCAAGATTTATAACTTGAAAAAAAATGATTATATGATCAACAAAGCCTTCCTGAAAACGATCTCTGTCATGGACAATATCTATTTATGTGGAAAGGTGTATTTTCTTCTGCTCTTATTTTTGTACACTCTATTCCTTACAGGCTACAATAAATTGCCGGATATTTTTGGGAAAATTACTAAATTAGCTATTTGATATTATAATATTATATAACTGGCAACATTCCTAAATTCCTAAAGCAAAATGGCGTGCAGTGTTTCAGTTCATGATGTTTAAGTTAAGAAAATGTTCATAGAATCAACAAAGGCATTCTAAGAAATATGCATCCATGACTTTTGCTCCATAGTAAAATAAAAACCTATTAAAGGTAAAAAGCTGTGACGTATGAGCTTCCACCCAACGTAAACAGCATTTGAAGTGGAATGAAATCAAGGTCAAGAACAAAAGATTTTGTCTTTGTTGTACCATGGAGGCTGACATTTTCGTTGTCTCCTCCTGAAAGTTCCTCGTCTATTTCCAGCTCTTCATCGTCGCTCTGCAAACTCTGGAGCCCCTCCCCAGAGGCTGGATCCCCTGTTACTCCAGCTAGTTCACTGGAGAATGTGGCCTCTGACCCCTGAGCACCCAGAGCACTGCAGACTGTGAAACCAAAAGGACACAGGAAAAAAAAGAAAGAGTCTGAAACCCCCATAAAGAAATTACAATTAAAATTCTCCTGGAAATTTACTTTTCTGCTTAAAGTGTGTTTCCTGGTTACTAGTAGTAACCTAATACCAGCAACAAGTGACTAGTAGTAAACTAGTAACCAGGAAAAATAGATGAATATGAAACTTGATGAAATGTCATTTGTTCTTCTATGGTCACCAGGAACTTGCTAAGTTACTTTATACTGGCATTGTATTCAGAAATCTTGGCTCATTTACATCTGACTCATCCATTCACCTTAAACATTGAGCTTGCAAATTAGACACATTTAGCAGTGAAACCAGTACAACCAGTCCACATCCAGAACCACACTGCACCTGAACACATTTTTCATACCAAACAATGATGAATAAGAATCAGAGTCAGTGAAGAATTTGAAACACGCTGGCCTTTCTCAGCATCTAGTGCTACTGTACAATGACTTGACCTAGTAATAATGTGGTCTGCTTATAGATTTTTTAAGAACCAGAGGTGTTGCACACAAATCATTTTCTCTAAAACACCTAACTATCTCTCTCCTGCCGGACAAGTCCTCACTTGCAGAGGCATTCCTTTTCTTATTTTGTCCCCTTCACTGTCCTCATACCATTTTACATTCCTTTTCTTTCCATTTCATTCATTTACACACTCTGCACACACACACAGAATATAAGTAGAAGTCCAGACTTACCGAAGCACAAGAGACAGGTGAGGGCGAGAGGGTTCATATCCCAGGAGAGAGTGTTGTGTGTATGACAGGCCTGCACTAATTTGTGTGTGTCGGAGTGTGTGTTTGTCCCCTGCTGATAGAGGTTGTGCTTTGCTCTCTTTACCTCCGCTGGGCGCAGCTTTTATAGAGCAACGCCTGCCTCTCAACACCAAGGAGAAAGGTGTGTGTGTGTGTGTGTGTGTGTGTGTGTGTGTGTGTGTGTGTGTGTGTGTGTGTGTGTGTGTGTGTGTGTGTGTGTGAGACAGAGAGAGAGAGCAATAGACATGGTGTGTGTGTAGTTAAATCCCAAAAGAAGCAATAGAGGTTCATGTAATAAAGGGGTGTGTGTGTGCGTGCATGCGTCTAGTGATTAATCTGCCTCGGGCAACACATTTTGCACCTCATGTTTTCACACATTACGAGGCTCCTGTAGGGGTAATGTCTGAAGAGACTGAGACACGGAACAGTTTCATGTATTCTGAATTGTTTCTCGTTGACATTAAAAAACACACAGAAACATTCTTTCCTGCTTCTTTAACTGTTGCTTCGTCTCCCTTTATGGCCATGAATAAGGTCATAATTACAGCTTCAATCCATTAGTGACACACACACACACACACACACAGACTAACTCATAAAATGTTGCCAGCCTTGAATCTCCACAGTGTCTTTTTGTTTTTAGACATATTTTACTCTCTTTTTTGATATTTCAAAGTGTTATGGGAGGGTTTAATGGGAATAAGGAGTTGAAAACCTTAAAAAATCAAAAGAAAGCCAAAGAAATTGAGTCACAGCTGCACTTTACACAAGGTACAAAGATGACATGACAGTGAGGGCAATAATAAGTTCATCGTTTTTATGATTCACAATTTGGTTCATGTACAGATACAGGCAAATGGTGAGAAGTAGGTCTGAATGTTGTTGTTTTTTTGCTGAGAGATGAGTTGTGTTTTTAAAGATGAATATTTTTCATTGTTTTTGACAGAAAACAGCAGGCAGAATAACTTCCTCTTAATTACAGCCCCTAGTTAAAATGCACCAAATCTCTGGATCTTCCATGTATGTTTTGTCTTTCTGTGTCTGAATTGTTGTGTGTGTGGTTTGATTAAATGATGCCATGTTACGATTTCAGTACACTGTAACCATGTGGAGACCTTAAGGCTTGGGTGGGGATGCTGCACAGATGGGTGTGTTATGTTGTTGTGTCTGTAGACGAGAGGCTGCCCCATCATTCGTGCTTCAGGGGAATCCAATAGAAACCTGCTAGGAATGCTGGGAACTTCTCCTTCTCATTCCTCAGCCTCAACAACCAGAAGCTCCTGACACATTTTGTTTATAACGGCTGTGGAATTAAATTGTTTGGATTATGTGTAATGGCATTGGGGATGTGTGATATGAACATGTGGAAAGTCTGACACAAGCCCGGAGAGAAGCGCCTCATAACAGCCGCCCACTGTAAACACACTGCGATGTAGCTAACAGCATGAAGGATGAAGACTTTCTGACACGCAAACAGTAGTATCTATTTGGATAAAACTCTGAATCATGCATTTTCACAAAACAGTTACAAGCTCAGTAGCAGTTGGCATTTATCTGAAAAAGGGATTAATGCCCTCATGAAGCAGAACCTAGACTTAGTGCTTGCAATTACACCTGTAAGTACTTAACAACTGTTTGAGGCTGGTCAATAAGGCAGTACCTAGACACATTAGTGCTTTGAGATAAGTGTTTCAAGTTTTCAAGTTTTTTCAAGTGTTTTTCAAGTTTGTACTGATTTGGCTGATTTTCTGATTATGTGAACTTGTGTTTGGTCTCAGGCCTCCCTTCCACTAGCCTACTAAGTTGACTGCCCTGACATGTGGCACCTGTCCCATCTTGTTTAAAGGTGATGGTTGTATTTAATCCTAAATAAGGCAATTTGTGTTGATCTTTGTTAGTTTATGTTATAAACCGTACTTTTTTTTTTTTTCTCAAGTTAAATGTCAACATGCTCACGTGCCAATTGTTCACATGCATTTGCTAATTAGCAATTAAACACAAAGTAGAGTTGATGTGATGTGATCAAAGTAGTGGACAAACTGAAATTTTGAGCAAATGTAAACGCTCTGTATAGTGCCTTTCTAGTCTTTTTATCCACTCAAACCATTTTCACACTACATCTACACTGGTGGAACAGCCACCAGGGGGAATTTGGGGTTCAGTATCTTGCCCAAGGACACTTTGACATGCAGCCCTGAGGAGCCGGGGATTGAACCACCAACCTTCTGATTAACAAGCAACCCGCGCTACCTCCTGAGCCACAGCCGCCACTGGACCATGGTGCTAGAGTCAAAGTCAGGGGATCACTGATGTTATTACAATTCATTGTGAGTGGAACTCAAATGTCTGAATGGCATATGATCCAACAGTTGCTGAGACATATCCCTCAAAAACATAAATGTCAATCTCATTCCTCCTCTGGGGATCATTAATGTCTGTACAAAAAAGTGTACCAATTCATGTAGTAGATGTTGGAGATATTTTCACTGGACAAGTGGAAACTTTGACCTTCTGGTGGCACTAGAGGAAAGGTCACGGGTTCACCAAAATCTTGAGGATTCATCCTCTGGGGATCATGAATGTCTCTGGATCAAAGTGATGGATCAACAGACTGACATTACCATCCCTAGAGCCATGCAGCTAGCGTGAAAACAACAGTGAAAATATAGCGTGAATCACCCTTGAGCTGCAAAACAAATGTGCACATGGTACACGTGGAAGCTTTTGTTTTGTAAAAGGACACGCAAGGATGCAGCTTATAAGGGCTTCTACCAACCACATTACTCACTGCATGAGCAACCTACTATTACTTATGCAATAATTAGGTAATACCAGTTACATAGAATGAGTGTAGTGTGGAGATTAGAGCAGCATTTCCTGAATTTTAGATCTGTTTATCCACAGGCTTTATATTTAGAACAAAATGGACACCACTGAGAGGGTGTATTTGTGGGTGTTTGTGTGTGTAAGTGCATGCTTATGTGTTTTTAAGTATGTCTTAAAAAGAGCAGCGCCTGCAGGTAAGTTAATGTTTACGTGTGATCATTGCTGTTCATTAGCACACAGAACATATAAAGATACTTCAGTCAGGCCTTAAAAACGGCTCATTGACTCTGGTTGAAGCTGTAATGAGAGTGGAGGGAGTTAATTTGGTGCTATTGATTAACTTGACACACTGTCATCAGTAGGTCAGACGATGACTACAAACATGCCTATTTCTTTGCATTATGTAAGTGTAGCGTGACCCTGCACTTTTAAATTTAAAGATTTGTCTTGTTTTGCATTTGTCATGCATCTTAACAATTAAGCTGGTATTTATTTTGCAGGGAGTTTCTGTGCACCAGTCTCATGTGAAAGTAGATATAAGTAGAACAAAGGTAAACCTATGAAGCACTTATACTTGTAATGTAATTGGATGGGTCAGTACAGGTAACTCTGCTGTCTGATAACAATTAGAATCAAAATATTCACAGATTCTTCCAACCTGACATCATTAAACACATGTGTAGGTCTTGACAGTGTTGTGTGTACATGAATGTGTATGTGTTTGCAAAATGGTTCGCTTACACATCCTCTGAACCCAAATAATTAGATTTAATTAATGTGCTACACTTTCACAGCGCCATAATTTGTCAGTTGTATTTGAAAGGTAACAGGTTAGTTAGTGAATCAAATGTACTGCTAATGTACTGGTTTCCTTGTAGCTGTATTCAGCCAGTCTTGCGTGTTTTTATAGATTTTTTTTACTGCACACGTTTTGACTTTAACATTAATGATGGCTCGCATCCATTAAGTGTCAGTGAGCCAGCATGCACAGTACCAGGGCCCTGGGACTGTAAATCAAACCCAGCTAGGTCAATTTAAGTAATTACACCATAATATGTCGCAATGTTCATTGGGAAACAGGTCTGTAGAGGATTTTAGGATATATGAAGCTACACCTTGAGTTTTTAAGTAGAGCTCTAAATAAAAGAGCAACAGTTTAAGACATTAAATGCTGTTCCATAGCAACCTACATTTGGAAACTTATTTACTTACTTAAGTATCTAACATATCAGATGATTCACGTTTATCTTTAGAATACATAGACTATAGACTATTTCTTTATTGTCCACCAGGGGTGGAACTTTGACTTACTGTATAGTGTTACTCAGTAGACCTACATTTTGAAAGAAGTTCCAGCGCAAACACCTGTGAACAGCACTTAATAATATTCACACTTGTGTCCTAAATCTCAAGTCTAGCTGAAAGTTGAAAGTCAGTATTTGCTTTAAATAATAGTTTATTAAACATCGTTTTCTGGCACATGTATAGATAATTCTGCCATTACAAAAATGTCATGTATACAAAAACATTACAGTCATTGTGCAGCATTTGGTCATGGGGATGTTCAAGAGCTTGTAAAGACATATTTTCTTTCAAGAGAACTACTGATCACATGGAAGAAAAATGCGGAAACTAAAAAGACTTGAGAAAAATGTGAAACCTCTCACCCTTCATATGAAGTAAAACCAAAGTCAATGACACAGAAAAAAAGTTCATAAAGGTGTAAAAGATTCAAGTTGTATTAATTTTAACAGTAACAGAACTTCCCGAGCAGATTCAAGCATATACACCTATACTCTATAATAAATTATCAAAATGAGAATACTTTGCGACTATACAAATATAACAAAACACAGAACAGTGGCCAGTTTAACGGCAATAGTTACAAAGTCAAACAAACCAACAATAAATACAAGCTAACACAGGCAAAAATGTTAGATAAAACAAAAATCAAGGCTTAAAAGACAATAGATGGTTAAGACTTGATTATTTTGTTTTAAATAAGTTTTCCTTTTCATCTCTGAGGCTGGTTTAATAGATGTGATGGGAACCTCAAAACTCAGTCTCACATTAACTGGCAAAAAAAGAGAGCCTAAAGACACTACATCATAACTGCTTAATGGTAATGGTCATTATTGTGGCCATTACTGTCTGCCAAATTCAGTAAAATCTGGTGCTAAGCTGTGGCTTGTTGCTTTTGAAGTTCAAAAAGCACACGAGTAGGTTTACCTCTAGGTTTACAG